GAGGAGGCGGTGGGGAGACTGGGGGCGGCCGGAGGAGGAGCCGGGCCGGGGCTGCCCTCCCCGCTCTCCCCCCGCTCTGCCGAGGGGCCGGGACGGACCCACAGCCCCCGCCGGGCGCCCGGAGAGCTCTGTCTTTGGGCTCTGCTTTTCCACGGGGTCCAGAACATTAACGTGAGGTTTAAAATGTTATCCACAAGCCGAGAGACGGCTGAAAAGATGGGCCGTTAAAGCAGCATTTTACCTTTTCTCTGCAAAACTCTGACTAGTAGCACTTACACACCTGATGAGCTCACGAGCGGCCTCCTTCACACTTGGCTTCATGTCGAGTTTAGCTACAACAGCCTCTCCTCGTCCATTGCATCCCCCCATTTACAACCAAGATTTGGAAAAAAATAAACCCCGAAGCCAAGAACACCCACAGAGCTCTAGGTTCCGTATACAAGTCACTCCTGTCCAATAGACTAAGCACAGCTGAAAGTGTCAGCACCCTTGGAGCACTGGATCTTCCTGGAGCACAGCTGTAACAAGCCTGGAGTAACCACAGAGCAGAAGGAAAACCACAGGCTGCAGGTTGCTTTGTACCACCAACAGCCATAAGGTTTAGGAGTAAGCTGTTTTGGAGAATGTTTTCTCTAATCCTTGATTTTCCACAGAAAACCGTTTTCCATCTGTAAGTAAAAGTACCCTATTCACATCTACTACACCTGCAGGAGTTATTTAGGGGGCTTGTTTTTAAAATTATGCCATTTCTTTTGTTTATTTTGACTTTTGGTTGGTTGGGGTTTTTTTACAACTGAAGACATGGAACTGTTGGAGCAGAAATGTACTCTACAAATCAATACTATTTGATAAGTGTTAATGTATTTTTTAGTTATAAATAGCCATATTTTCTAAGAATAAACTGGCAAGGACAAAAGATGAGCTGTGCCATGGGCCTGCAGCACCTGGACCTTGCTCAGAGTTTGGTTGTTCTCTTTTCTGCAATGGCTTGACTTGGAGTGAAACAATATATAACTGGGCTAGATTCCACCCCATCACACACCCACCTCCAAATCCAGCCCCTAAAACAAAAGCCAAGGAAGAAAGTAGCACCAGAAAAATTAATTTTAAATACACTGGCACTTCAGCTTTGGAGAGAACATTTTTGTCTTACTGTTACCACAACATAGCTGTTAAACACCTTTATTTCTAAAACATTGGGAAGATCTTTGTTACTGTACTTTCAGTCCTTTCCTACCAGGTAAATCTAAGAGATTAGGGAAGGGAGAAGTTAGAGTAAATTTTCAGCACTGCAGGATGTAACCAAACCTTCCATTACCAGTTTGTCAGCTGCATTCAAGACCACCATTTTCACCAAATTTCTCCACTGTTACCAAATCAACATTTTTATTAATCCCTTTTACTGTAATTGTGACATATTTATTCAACAACAGTGCTTTCAGTTTGTCAAGTAATAGTGGAGACCACTCAGCTTTCTCTATTCCTGAAAAAAAACACCTACAATCAAGTTTGTTCTATAAATAATTCCTTTATGGTATGACTTAAATCTTACGTGTAATGCTATCACTGTTTTTGAATATCTGAAATTTTCTTAATATAACTAACTTAGATTCTACAGGTAATTAACTAGAAACTTTCTACAGCAGCTTTCACAGTGTTAACCAGCACATTATTTCAGCAGATCACTATGTTTATCAGTATTAAGGAATGAACGCCACCATCAGAATAAGTACAGATATATAATGTTTGGGAAAACCAATCAGGGTGTTTTAGGGTTGTGTTTGGTTTTTTTTACCTGCAAGTGAAAAGATACTTTTCTGAAAAGGCACCTTTAAGTAGTATTCAGTGATTAGCAGCACCAGACTGAGAAGCTTTTAGAAGACAAGTTCTGTACCAACAGCCATCACCTGAAAAGACTGGGGCAAGATAAATCACACGTGAAGCACCATTTTATAAACACAGATTATCCCAATAATAAGAATCTGTTTTCTAGGAATTTTTAAATACTCTGGTATATACAAAAGGCCACTTGATAAGAAGCAAGCTCCCAGAACAAGTGAATAGTTTCTGATTACCATATTCATAAAGATGTAAGTGTTGTTTTCAGAATTTTGTTCAGATTCTTGAGAGAAGACTTTTACACTGTTTCTAGCTCCTTACCTTTGTTTTCCAGTGCATATTCCCCCTCAAAACACAACCAAAATTAAAAAGACAAAACCCATTTGTTTTTTCTCATTATTATTATTTTAAAAATGATGATGATTATGACGTTAAAAAGAACTGTCAAACACTTAGGTGTACTCTTGCAGTCTGCCTAGTATTTTTAAATTAATCTATCCTGGTTTCCATGAGCTGTTACGTGATACAGTGTCCAAGTTCATTCTCAGCACTTAGCCTGTAACAATCCATGTGCAGTCAACATTTATGAGTTAACACTATGTTTTCTTTTCTTTTTTATTTTTTATTTTTTTTTTAATATTGAGCTAATACATCAGCAGAGTGTCCCTTCTTCTGAAAAACTAGGACAATAAATTAAGCTCCCTCACTGTTAAGAATACTTTGGGCTCGAACTCAGAATTTGCAAAGCCTGAACAGCTTGTCAGGCTAACAAGGCTGAATGACCAGGTGTCACAGACAGTGTCATCACACCATGTCCACACAAAGCAGCAATAACAAAAAAAGCAACCAGGAACGCACAAACCAGAAGTGGGTCTGTATAGATGTAAGTGCACTCTTGCTCTGTCATTAATTTCATGCCCCTGTGACTCAAACACAAATTCCAGTTCAAGCAGCAACAACCTTTCTTTCCTCTTAAAGCTCCATACATTTTGCAGGGCACAACCTACACCTTATTTTCTCTCCTGGGCTGTCAGACAGCTTCTTTGCACTAAAGATGCAGCTAGGGTAGGTATCCTTTGTAATTGAATTAAGAGATTTGTAAGCATTTTATAGCTGGTGAATTTCATGCCCCTGTGACTCAAACACAAATTCCAGTTCAAGCAGCAACAACCTTTCTTTCCTCTTAAAGCTCCATACATTTTGCAGGGCACAACCTACACCTTATTTTCTCTCCTGGGCTGTCAGACAGCTTCTTTGCACTAAAGATGCAGCTAGGGTAGGTATCCTTTGTAATTGAATTAAGAGATTTGTAAGCATTTTATAGCTGGTGGTTTTCCTTTTTCTAAAGAAAAAAAAAAAAAAAAAAAAAAAAAAGTTGTGTTCTACACTAGTCAAGGTAATATAAAAATGAACAATTATCTCGCCTGAAAACCTGTCACGACAGGCTTCATCATTCCACTTGTATTCTTAGATACTAGAACTCGGGGTAGGCTTTGGTGCTATAAGCTCACTTGAAACAGTAATGCATTAGAAATATAATAAATGACAAATTGGGGAGCAAAGAAGCTAAAAGAAAGTAAAAAGCTGAATAAACTTACCATTGCTATTCGAAATCTGACAATTGATTTCTCCAGGACTGTACAGTGTACACACTATGACATCTGCTGTTTGTTTAAGAGTTAATTTACTCCACTTGCAAGTTCTTTTGTTCATTGTGTCCTCTAGAGAGGAAAGAGAGCAGAGACATAAAGGAAGGAAGATAAATTAAAATAATATTTGCAAGGAATAAAAATGTACACATCTTGATCGCTCATTCATATCCTCAAATTTCTTGTTATAAATAATCTAACAGCCCAATCACCAGTGAAAGCAACCACATGTGAAATATGCCCAGCACAATCCTGAGTCAGTTGAATTTACACAGGACTAAGGTGAACCACCAGTCTGTAGATCCTGAGGACTATGACATGGAAATAAACTTCCTGCACATCAGGAATTTAAGAAAACTGAGAGGATCGACTACCTCTTCCTTCAAAGTTTCTGTGGGCTGCCTGTCAATGAAAATAACATGCTCATAGCATGAGAATTTCCTTGCTCTGGAGACAGGAAAAAAGCAAACAAAATAACCTTCCAAATAATGACGACAGGCAGACCTTCTCTGTATTGATCTGATTTTACAATCAAAGCCACCCCCTCAGCTCAACTGAAAAACTGAGTTTAGACTTCCCAGAGGCCAAGTGCTCTGCTTGTCTTTATCTACTGAGGCTTGCTAAGTTAGAAATAGAAACATGCTTAGAGTTCTCCAACTAAATACAACAATATTCAGTGGTTGCACTTTCTTTGGGATACTTGTTTAGTGACCAGGTATGAAATATAACAGAAGCTGGTAAAATCCTTAATGGAACCAGAAACTGATATTATAATTTTTAAGAGTCGAAAATGCATGAGACAGAAGGAACACTATGATCCTCATTTTGCATGCCTTTATTAAAACAGAAAATTAAACAAGATAATCCAGAAAAAGCTGAATTTTGTAATATAATTAATAGAGGACCAGCTTTTGTTTCAATAAATGCATTTCACCCTACACCCGATTGTGTTCTTTTGTTTTGAATCTAGCAGTAATTAACTGTAGGGAACAAAACCAGTGATGTTCACTTTCACAGAAATAATTTTCCTAACTCCCCCTGCCCCATTTGCATATGTTTATCTTTTAAAAGAACCTAAACCATCCTGAAAATAACCTAAAACATTATCACAGAAGTATACTGAACAGATAAAGAAAAACAACAGCTGAGGTTTCACACCTTCACCTCTTCCTTTCACACCTGTTTTACAGGACAATTCAGCTGTATTTCCTGCTTGTGATGATCTCATAAATAAGAGGAATTGAATTCCATCTGCTTCATTGTATCCTTAACACCACAGAATCAATTACAGCTACTGCTCTAACTGTAGGCATCTATTTTTTTTAAAGTCTAAAGATTTAGCGTAGTCTGCTTAATACATACCTTTTGTGACCTACTAAAACATTAGAAAAATAATCTTATATATGTCATTAGAGAAAACATCCTTTGCATTTGCAGAATGCAGAAAACACTCAATGGCTGAGATTGCTGTTACAACTGCCAAAATAATTGTTTAGATGCAACAAAGATCCTTCTAGAACATCTTCCATTAAAAGACACCTCACAGTACAATAGCAAAACACATTAAAGATTGTTCAGTATGCAATATAGGATCTCTTCCTTTAAGAGAACTTGCTCAAGACTCAGATGAACCAGCAAAAATAAAACCTTTTTGTTATTTCAAAATAACTTTGCTATAAATTGTTTATTCATATTGTACAGGCTTTTGATAGAAAGGTCCCTCACTATCAGCCGATCAGTTTTACTAGAACAGTTACAAGCACACACAGCAGAAAGGAATCAGGATGGACTTACAGAAGTCTCATGACCCAAAAAGAAGCCTTCTTTCTGAAT